AAAAAAAAAAAAAATTTTATTTAATTTATACGACTGATTAGTATTAATATAAATAATTGAAAGATCAAATGTAATTCTTTTATTAAGAATCAATAGAAAATTTGAGAAGGTACAAAATATAATAATACATTTTTCATTAATAACAAATTTTTTTATTAATTTATTTGTTATATTAGAACTCAGATCTAGTTAATATGCATTAGATAAAAATAAATGGTCAAATTTAAAAACTATTATTTCAAAGAAAACATAATTGGGAAAAATGTTAGAATGTTCTATATTTAAACAATATAGATTAAGATACTGTATGTTAAATGTTATTAATGATATCTGTATACTATATATAAACATATATATTAACATGAATATTATCAAATGATAAACAAATATGTAATCTGAGGCTATATAATCACTAAAAAAATACTAATTTAATGAAATTGTAGAAATATATAATTGTTAAAATCTTAAAATAATATATACAATTATTTATAAATTATAGAATTTATAAAATTCTACATTTTTAATATTCTATTCAAGTTAAGAAACATAATTAGTGGCTACATGTGCACAGAAACATGGCTTTGTTAAATGTCAGATAAATAGTTGACTCACTGGGGATGACAAATGACTGTTGCCTGACAACCACCAAACAAAAAACTTGTGGCTACTAAATAATTTTCTTGAATTGAATAGAGTATTTTATATCAAAGAAGATGCATTATACATAAACATGTTTTATTGCCATGTTTAATCTCAAACATATCTACCTGTCAATAAACTCCTACATTTGCCTAAACTTAAGTTAAAAAAATAAATATTTTTAGGAAAAATTAAGCATACATAATTTTATACAGCAATACTTAACTTATGTTAACAAATTTTTATTGTTTAGAAATAAAATATTTGATTTTCAAATAATGATTATGAAAAATATGGAATTAAGATTAAAAATGAAAACATATAAAACATATGAATTAATAATTTTAAATATTTTTTTGAATAAGTATTAAGAAAATCTAAACATTTTAACATTTTAATATTTTAAGATAATATTGAATAAAATATACTTTTTATTATTAAAAAAAGATTATTAATTGTAGTAGCAATATAATACAAAATAAAGTTTAGAGTATTTTAATAAAAATATATATTCAAAATGTCTTTGTAAATTAATGATACTTTTAACAGATATATATTTTAATTTGGACAAAAAAACTAAATTATACTAATGTTAATATTTTGTTTATTATGTTGTATGCCATATTATCTTTCTTATGCATTTAAATCATATAAATGGACTGGGTATGTGCAGTTTAATTGATTACATTTTGTATATAACAATTTATTATCATAATATTTACCAATTAGAACTTATAAAATTAAATAGTTTAAAAATTAATTAAAAATATACACACTTTTATTTTATTATTAAAGTTTTCAACATACTTAATAATTTTACACGTCAAAGATTTAATATAATAGTATAATATAGGAAATAATAATAAATTAGTAACATACAAATTGATTTTCGAATTAAATATTTTAAGTGCCTAATTAAAACCGAGCCTTCTCAAGTAGATATTTTTAGTGTTCTAAATTAAAAGGAGAACAAAAAGTGGTAAATATATTACAGAATTATTTAAAACCATTAAATAAAATTTATAAAAATTTTACTAGAAAAAATATAACACAATAAATTTTATTTATAACATTAAGTTTAAAAGGTAATATTAATTTCAATTAATTCATCAATTATTAAAGGTTAATAAATTAAAACACACTATGACAATTAGACATAGATTTATTGTTACATTGTAGATCTCTTATTTTTTTTTTTTGTTACATACTTTGGTCATATTGGTGCTGTTCCTAGCTGATTTCTTCCACTTCCTTTTCATAACTGATGTTTCTGAGGATTCTGAATTTTCTTTCTAACATCAAAATCAAAAGAAAAAATTAATTATTTAATATGCATGATTTGTAATTAAGCATTTAAATATACTTTTAAGGCAGTTGATGGTTTTTCAATAGATTTTTTTGATTTGGATGTTTTGGAAAGGTCAACTTTCTCAGCGTTAGATGCTTCTACCTATTTACATTAATTTAATTTTTAAATAAGTAAAATAAAGACAAGAGTGTTATTTTTTTTTTACCACATTTTCAGTTGTAGAGTTTTTTTGATCGTTTTTAATTGATTTGGATTTGTCTGAATCGGAAACATTATCCTAGGAAATAAACAAAATTTATTTTATAAAAATAAATACTAAAATGTAACATATAAGTAAAAGGAATAAGTTAGTATGTTTTAATAATTTTACCATAAAACTAACACATATTAAATGCAAATCTTAAAGGTATACTTTTTATATTAACTAAATATCTAAAATAATTTTTATTAGTCGAAAAATTTAAAAAAAAATTACCTTAAGTTTTAGTGGTTTTCGTTTGTTTTTTGAAGAACCTTTACACTTATCAACATCGTTAATTGAAGTTACTTTCTTTTTCTCTTCTTCCTATAAAATAAAATATTTAAATTTATTTTATAATAATGGTTAATGTATTAAATTTATTTTTCGGTATTTAGGCTTTTATTTGCCTCAGTCATAATTTGTAACAATGAAAAAGAAGGCTTAAAACGTTAGGTGCAGTTTAACAATCTCTTTTTATGATCACCGTATAATATACACTCAAAATTTTTAACATAATAAATTAATAATAATTACCACTTTGACTCCAATAAATTTAGAACATCTTGCAGCTCCACATTGACAAGGCTTTTTCTCTACTCCTGAGCAACTCTGTAAACGGTAATCAAAAACTAGTTCTGTACCAGTTGGAATGTCATGTAAAGCAAAAAGTCCAATTCTAGTATCTCCATTCACTGTCCATTTTTGTGTCACACAATTTGGTTCACACGAATGATTCATAAATCTATTATATATATATACATAAAAAAATATATTAATTCAAGGTAATGTAATTATAAACATGCTTATAAAAAACTAAATAATTATATAAGTAACATAAATTTAAAACTTAAGCTATTATATATTTTTATAAAGTTATAGCATGAATACTGAAAAATTTTTAAAATTCAAAAATTGTGAATAATTTATAGTTAAGACAACATTTTTAATTTGTTTATATATATTTAATGTTAGGTATTATTACTAGCAGTATAGTAGTATTATTTACACAGATTCTTCTTCGCTATTGGTTATCCAAAGAAAAAAAGGTATTATTACTAAATAAATAAAATTTATATAAATTAAAATTAACAATGGTAAAGCATGAATAAACCAAGCAGATTCCAAAACATGATAAAAACTTATTAACTTATCAAATTTAAATTAAAAGGGATGTAGGTTTTTTTTATTTATAATACTGTATAATGTATATATAAATCATCATGTATAGATATAACAATAATAAATGATTTAATTTATTATATTTTTGGAAAGTTAATGATAACATAAAAATTAATAAACAAACAAACATATTAATTAGATGATAACTATTAACATTGAATGTTGCATTATCTAATATAAAATGAAAAATAAATATTTGTGATTAACAATGTGAAGTTACTGAGGTAGTTAGGAGTTGCAATAAGGAATTAAACTTAGATAATAATGAGTATTGACAGCAATTAAATTTAATCACTAAATTCACTGGAACACGTTTTAAAAATATCTGTTTGGTGGTATTCAAGATTTTTGCACACTAAGAACATTACGTATATGTAAATAAGATACAAAAGAATGAGTTCATTGACGTCTATTTCTATATAACTTTTGAATAATTGGAAAAGAATTATGCAGGAGATATTCAATGATAGATAAAAAAAAAAAACCTAGAATAATATTATTTATTGACATGTATACAAAATATATAATTGTTTAGTTTAGGTAATTTATAATTGAAAATAATTTTATAATTTTAATTTATAATAGTTAGTTTTTACCTTGATAAATTTCCTTTTGGCCCAGCATCAATTGTTCTAGAATTATCTATAGTCAAAAAATAATAATTTTGTTCATTCCTTTGATGCATTTCCAAACATCTTCTTTGAAATTCTTCTTCATCAATTACATCACCGACATATTCGATCACAAATGAACCTTAATTTTAAGTTGATTAATATTATTACTATTATGTCATGATTACACTAAAATAAATAATATTATCAAACCTTCTTTTATATCTTCTAATGTTTTAAGACCCCAACCTCTACCTTTTGTCAAAAATGGGACCATAGCCGGGTATAATGTTTTTTCAAATCTTTGATTATTACATTTATTTCCAGCAGGACATACTTTTGGTCCACATTCAAACATAAGCATTCTAAAAGTAAATACAAAAATTGAAAAATCGAAATTTAATAATTATTAGTAGGTAATTTGAAGTAAAAATTAAATACCTATTTATACAATCAGAACCTGGGCCACATGGATTTGGTTTTGTTGGATCACATTCACAAGGAGTCATTGGAGTGATATCAAATTCCATATTTTTGACATTGCCAATAGGTTTGTTGAATTTTATTCTTGTAAATTTTGGAGGCTTCTAAAATATCAATAAAATAAAAAGTACATTATAAACTATGAATCAAAAATCAAATCTAGAGCTATATAGTGCCTACTGTAAATGATTTTGCAACTGTTGCATCATTTTTTTCTTTTTCTAAAATATAAGCATTATGTGCTTGAGCTGCTTCTACAATAGAATCTTGAAATACTTGATCTATAACCTTCAATTTATTTTTTTTCAAAATATTCTCATCATCCTGAAATAAATCAACAAATTTAGAGGATATTCTACTCTGATTTACTAAAAAATTGGGCTAATTTTTGTCTAATGCAATTATATATTATTTGTAATTAGACTGAACTTAAATATTTTAAAAATGTATTTTTTTTATTCTAGATTCATAAATAAGCTTTAATTACCCCTTCATGAAAGTTAAATACTCGTCCACGATTCACCCAATAATAATCATAGGTTCCAAAAAATCGAACAGCGAATTGCCCTACAGAATGAGGTATTGCATTAACAACATCAGGAACTTGATTTGGAAAGACAATTTCAGCTGGCCACCACCTAAAATTGGGAAAATATAATAAGTAATAATTTATAAGAAATTAACAAAATTAGGTATTTTCATAATAAATTGAATCCTTATACAATTATATATATACAATTTTACTAACACAAGAATAAGGGATAAAATAATAATTAATAATTTGTTTGATAAAATTATAAAAAACATCTAATAATTTTCAAGTTTATTTAAGTTATAGTCTATTTACCAAAAGAATATAAATGTTTGGTGCATAATTTCCCAAAAATGAGGTAACCTTTTCCTGGAATGGTAGGTGCTGTTTTGATGGGAATTGACTAGTTTCATTATACTACTGCCACTCGCTGGTAACAGAATTTATATAAATTATATAACTAGATAAAACCATCAATTTTTTTCATACAGATATACAGAGCATATATTACACGTATATGTAATAACAACCATTTTTTATTTGTTACTAAATTGTTATTAATTATAAGAAATGTCTGAATACATGTTCTGTATATATTGAGAAAATATATAGATATATAATTTATATTATTTATATGAATTTGGGTACCAGCAAGTAACAGGAGGATAACTGATAAGTACCAAATCCACTAAGTTAAAAATACAAAAATGAACGCTCATAATGTAAATATAGATTAATATCTATAATTAAGATAGTTTGAAAGCTTAATTTTGTAGTATATGTTTAAAAAAATCATCTATGCTCGAAAATTTAGAAATATTACCAATGATATCACTAAATATGCACGAAACGAAATTCTAGATTAGATATTTATTTAAGTCTTGTAAACACAAAAATAAAATAGTCCAAATTATTACACTAACTAAATAAATAAAATCATGAATCATACCTATAATTCCCTATCTTAACCCAAACAATTTCACCATATAAAGGATATCGTCCAGTTTGACATTCTTCACAAGTAAAACCTTCTTCAAATTCAGATGGGTCCTGATTTAAACAATCAACATGAAATGAAGATGGACACAAATCACAACATACTAATGAACCACCTCCTAAAAAAAAAAATAAATAAATATTTATTTAATAAAACTAAACAAACTTGAATACTTGTTATAATATTTACCTAATGCACAAATAAAACACCAAGTAGCATTATAATGATAGTTTTGCATTTTAACAGGTTCAAAATGACGACTACAAATAATATCATTGTATGTTAAGACTTGACAACCAGCTGGTAAACAGTATTCACCTATAAATATATTAACAATATAAATATAAGAAATTATTAATTAATAAAAAAAAATTACTCCTATGATAAGCTGTTGGACATTTAATACACCGGGATAATTTTTCAGCGGGAAAATGAGTTTTACATGAACTTTTAGGATTATCCGATATGCATAAATGACAAACATGATGTGGACATACTACACATCGGACATTATTTCGCAACTCTTGAGTCCATTGACATTGTGGCCAATCATTTAAACAAGTTTCATGATAATATTTTCCACAGCTAGCTAAAATTAAAAATTAAATTCTAACGTTAAATTTTAATAACATTGTATATTATTGATGTTAGTTCATAAATATTTAACAGCCTAAATTTAAAAAAAAATTGATTCATTTAAAATTTTTCAATTTTTATACTAAAACATTAAAATTAATTACAACCTTAAGAGGACGCTACATAGACATTTGTTGTCTCTGTCTTACAAATGCATAACATAAACAATTTATGTTCAGCTTTGTTAGTTTAAAAATTAGAGTGAATTGATCTATAATGAAACGTGATGGTAAAAAGATTATCTGTGTTTGAATATGGGTGTTTTACGATAGTTCAATTTTTTAGCGAGTTTTGCATATGTAAAATATAGTAAATTAAAAATGCTTATAACTCATTTAAAAAATTGAATTATCCTAAAAATCCACGTACAAAAAAACACAGAAAATGTTTTAACCATCAAGTTACATTATAGGTCGATTTACTTTAATTTTTATATTAACGAAGCTAAACCTAATCTGCTGAACGTGAATTATCTATGTTATGCACTAGTAAGACAGTGACAACAAATGTCTGTGTAGCATCCTCAAAACTATATGATTCTATGACTATTTTAAAAATTTTAATTAAGATTTGTTATTAACATAATTATCAAAAATTAAACTTACATATTTTACAAACAATCTTTTGTCCAGAATCATCAATAACTAAACCACATATAAAGCAGTTCGTTTTATTGGCTTTACATAGGCTGCACATATATTTTAAATTGTCTAATGGTATTTTTTCACTAATATCTAGTGGCACAATTGGAGTATCAACATGTTTTTCTTCAGAAGTGCCTTGAATAGAATCTTCATTTACACTTCCTAATTCACTTTGAGTATTTTCATTCTCAGTAAGAATGCAACTATCATTTTTATATAGATTATCCGATTCAAGTTGATTAAGTGAAATAGTTTCTTCATTAGTATAGCCAGAATTTTGAGCATCAGATAAGCCATTAGATTTTATTTCATCGTCATCTTTAAATGATTTGGTAGCGTTTTCTTCTTTAATGTTATTAATAAGCTCTGGAATATCAGAAATAGAATCTTCATTTTTCTGTACGAGTTTTGAGTAATTTCTTTTACGGCGACCAGGCAATTTTTTAATTTTATTCATTGGTATACTTTTGGTCTGATGATATCTTTCCTCACTTTTATCTAAACATTCTTGATGAAAATAACTTTGACATGGGCCTAGACATTTTATTGTGTTTTTTAAGTTTTTACAAACTACACATGCTCTTTTCCAAGTTTTTGTAAAAAGTTGTTTGTTTTTTGAAGTGTTTAAGAAAACAGAGCTATATGTTTCATTTTTAGAAGAAGCTTCACTTTCTGTTGTATCCAGTTCTTGGCTACTTTCGCGTTTAACTGTAGTTGACTTTCTGAAAATCACAGGAAATAATAATTAATTTAATACAAAATAAATTAACATTTATTATAAAAACCATGGGATTTTATTAATTGATAATTTTATTTTAATTTTTGTAAAAAATATGATAATATACGTTAGGATAAAATTTAATTCAAAATGTTACCTTCCAGTAGAGTTTTCTTTTCCAATAAGTTTTTTTCTTTTTACTGTTTTTTTAGAATTGGATGAACTAAAATACATTAATATTTAATTTTAGTGGCAGAATATTTAATAATAAAACATACAGATTATTAAATATAATTAAATTTACTTCATATGGGTTGTATTTTTTTTTTTTGAACGACGAGAACTAGGTAAAATAATATTATCTTGATCATATTCTCCTTCTAATATGCTAGAATGCATAATATTAAAAAAAGAAAATATGTATTAATTTGATATTTCAATATTAGTAAACATATAATTAATATAAGAATTTATAATTATAAATGCTTGTTAATTAATCTAGTTTTTTTATAATATATAATACATATATAAGATCATTTATAATGTATTAAATATTTATTAATGTCAATCAAAAAGGATGGTAAATATAAAATCTATCCTACATTTTTTAATCAATTCATATAATTATTGAAATTTTTTTTTATACCTTATTTCAAGTTTTCTATGTTCAGGTACCATATGAGTAGTTGTTTTGGTTTTAATTGGGTTTTTATCCTGATTATCAGATACACTATTATTTTCTGGAGAATTCACTAGTGAATAAGTTGAATCATATTTATTGGTAAGTGAATTTTTTGGTGGGTATGTTTTTGTTGATCTTCTTTTTTTTACAATTTCTTGTTTAACTTTTAAACCTGTATCTTCCATAAAAGCATAACTCATAGAAAAATCAGAAACAGTACTATCAGCATCATCTGATCTTGATAGCAGAGGAATGTCTATTGATCTTGATGATGTACAATTCATGGATATGTCTTCAGTCTTCATTATCTTGGAATCAATATCTTGTTCAGGAACTGTTTGAGATCTTTTTCTTGAATAAGTACGTACTTTTATAGCCTAAAGATAATATATTATTGAATCAATCAACTGCTCGATTAAAAGCAAATAATATATTATTACTTACAGTAACATTGCCTTCAGACGAATTATTTGAAACAGATTGAGTAACAGGATCTGAATTAGAAAATGTTTTAAAAAAATCTATTATTCTTAATTCTCTGAAATATAAAATTAAATATTTTTAATTTTGTTTTATTTATTTTATTTTATTTAAAATATACCTATCAAGTTTCATCAAATTATCAGCTTCTTCAACTGCTAAATTCCATGTTTCTATAAGCTTTTTAGTATTCTTTAAGTAGATCTGTAAATATTAATAATTATCAAATACAAAACATTAAAAATATTTTTTTACAATAAAAAATTTAATATAATATAATAAACATAGAATTTATACTTACTAAACAATTAGGATGCTTTGAAAGTAATGCCATTTTTCCACAATATTTTTCAATTGTTGTTGCCCAACTTCTTCTACCTTTATCATTACAAAAGCGAACATGTAATAAGAATCTTTTTTTTTTTTCTGAAAAATAATAAAATATAATGAAATTTTACAAAAAAAAGTAAAAAAAAAAAAAAATAGAAAATTAATAAATTTAAATAATAAAGGTAATAAAAACGAAATACTTAGGTATAGTAGTATTTAATTTACAAAAGTTAAATAGAAATTTTTAATTATATAACTAATGTGCAAGTTAGTTATTCTAATATTAAACCGAATTTTTAATGGTATAATAATATATTGTCAAGAAAATTCTGTTAAAAATAAATAAGTGAAAATTTACATTTAACAGTAATTAAATTTGAATTGGTATTTATAAATAACTTACTATAATGAATATTCAATGTTGGGTCATTACAAACGATGCTTGGCCAATATGGATACTTCCCAATTTTAGCCCAAACAATATCGCCAATATTATAATATACAATCTGCTTAGTACTAGTACTGGTGGGTTTGTCAACAACATCTACTTCTGTATTGTTGAGTGATTCTTGAAGGGAAGTATTTACTGCCTCATTGCTGCTCAAAGAATTTCTATTTAAATGAGATGTATCTGAAGGTACAGGTATATTCACAGTTTCATCGCTACTCAATGAATTGATGTTTAAATGAGATATATCTGCAGGTACAGGTATATTTATAGTCTCGTCACTATTTATTGAGTTATTATTTAAATGAGATATATCTGTAGGTACCGATATATTCACAGTCTCGTCATTATTTAAATGAGATATATCTGTAGGTGCCGATATATTCACAGTCTCGTCATTATTCAATGAGTTACTGTTTAAATGAGATATATCTGTAGGTACCAGTATATTCACAGTTTCGTCACTACTCAATGAGTTATTTAAATGAGATATATCAGTTGGTAGAAATTTATTTACAGCCTCGTGGCTATTCAATAAGTTAGTCTTTAAATTAGATATATCGGTCTGCA